AGTAAAGCAACTCTTATTTGAAGCACTGCTGGGTTCCTGAGTGCATAACTGGAGAAAAGCTGGTTTCTCCTGGGACTCAGAGGAACCTGAGAGCAGCTCCACCGACTCAGGAGAGCAGGCTGATAACACCCATCCCAGCGGATAATGGCCAGCAATGCCCTGCAAATCGCTGGACTGGCATCTGGTTTTATGGGCATGGTGGGGACACTAGCTGTCACCATCATGCCTCAATGGAGAGTGTCTGCCTTCATTGGAAGCAACATCGTGGTTGCTGAAAACATGTGGGAAGGGCTGTGGATGAGTTGCATGCGGCATGCCAACATCAGGATGCAGTGCAAAGTCTACGACTCCCTGCTGGCTCTTTCTCCGGATCTACAGGCCGCCCGGGGGCTGATGTGCGCTGCCTCGGTGCTGTCCTTCCTGGCTTTCATGACGGCCATCCTCGGCATGAAGTGCACCCGCTGCACCGGAGACAACGAGAAAGTGAAGGGTCACATCCTGCTGACAGCGGGAGTCGTCCTCATCGTCACGGGCGTCGTGGTGCTCATCCCTGTGAGCTGGGTGGGCAACGCCATCATCAGAGATTTCTACAACCCCGTAGTGAACATGGCGCAGAAGCGTGAGCTTGGAGAAGCCCTCTACCTAGGCTGGACCACGGCGTTGGTGCTCATCGCGGGAGGAACACTCTTCTGCTGTGTGTTTTGTTGCAGTGAAAGGAGCAATAGCTACAGATACTCAATACCCTCCCATCGCACGACCCAAAAAAGCTATTACACGGGAAAGAAGTCACCCAGTGTGCACTCCAAAAGTCAGTACGTGTAGTTTTGTACTTCCATTTTCTTGACTTTGTCTATACAGCCACACAGAGGACTAAAATGTCTGCTGCAATCTAAATATGGAAGCCAAAGGAGCATTGATTTGCCATTGCTAACTAACTTTAATTGCAGGAACTGTGCATCAGCTATTTATGATGCTGTAAGCTGTTTCAGCAGAATGAGATAATACACACACGTCTTTTGATTATTCTAGCAGCTACAATAATTTGTTTTCTAAACGGGTTCATGCATCTATTCTTTTTATCTGTTACTTCAAAAGACATTGTTAAAGCCTGTATTATTTTGCAGCTGTGATCTTTCTCTGACACAGCATTGTGTAGGTAGATGAGAGTGACGTTTGTATCTCCCATAAATAGAGGCAGGCTCATATGATTCTGTTGAAAAGGAAATACTGATCCATTACACTGAATGAATAGAACTCAACTCTTACTGTTCAAGGGAATTGGGGAGAAGATTGAAGAAGGTTAATATTTAATTGTTTAAAAACAGCTTAGAGATGAATGTACTGCATTTATAATGAAGGTTTGAATCAGCAGTGTAAAGGAAACGAAATGGCTTTCTGAGATTTCATTTTTCAGCCTCGGAGTTAGAAATCCTAACTCCTTTATCCTCTTTCTGGAGGACTTCCTTTCTTGTATATTAAATGAACATCTTCTAAGAGGTAGATATTTTGGCAAGGGGCTTTGCATTTCCAGGGCTATATTAAGAAGAAACGTAAAACCGTGGTCGAAGAAATATTAAATACTTCAAGAAGGTGACTTCTTCCCCCTCTCTCTTAGGTTTGTAGAGCTGGGGAAGGAGATGCACGTTGACAGAGGATCATCCAGGCATGTGAATATTTAAACAAATATTTGAGTATAGACTTTGGACTTTTGTCAATATAAATAAAAAAAGGACAGAAAAATAATATGTCTCGGCTTTTGTTTGCTTTCTGGAAGAAAAGAAAGTTCTCTTTTTCAACTCCAGCTGCCCTTGTGTGGTTACCGAAGTCCGGATTGTCCTTTCAGTTCTGTCGAAAGAGACATTTCCTCCTTGTCATCCCGTTTTTGTTCCTTTCTGCTAAGGTTTACTCTGTCTTTTGTTTGTTTTTTTTTGGCTAAAGAAGACTATATCTTTGTATTGCCCATTCTGCTAAGGTTTACTCTGTCTTCTGTTTTTTGGCTAAGGAATACTGTATCTTTGTATTGCCCATTTTGCTAAGGTATACTCTATCTTTTTTGCTAAGGAATACTGTATCTTTGCATTGCCCCTAAAAATTTGATGTAACTGATAATGCAATGTGAAATTTTATATCTACGTTTGTCTAACATATGTAACTGTGTTTTACGATTTACGTGTTTCGTATTAATAAATTGTGCCTTTTATATTAATTTGAAATACTTTCACTATCCTTTTTTTTCTCTTATTAACTTGTAAGAACATTTTCAAAACCTGATATTTTCAACGCTCCAATTTTAAAAGAAAGATCAAGTCCACATTTTAAGATGGAAATAAATTCAGCGTTAACTACTGAGAACATAAACTAGTATGTAATTTAATAATATTATGTCTTATAATTACCATTAGATTCATACACTAATATTTGAGGCAGATAATATACTTGAAGTTTATTAAGATAGTACTGTAGGTTCCAAACAAGCTATTAAACTATGAGTATTATGTAAGTAATAGCCCTCTCTTTAAAAAAAATTCCATAGATGATTTTTCTTTTACTTCTGAGAAATAATATTAATTAATAACAGTAGCTAATGTTTTGGTGGCACATATTCTATGCTAAACCAAACCAAACTCTCTGCCATAGAGTCAATTCCGACTCATAGCAACCCTACAGGACACAGTAGAACTGCCCCATAGGGTTTCCAAGGCTGTAAATCTTTACAGAAACAGACTGCCACATCTTTCTCCCGTGGAGAGGCTGGTGTGTTCAAACGTTTTGGTTAACAGCCAAGCGCTTTAACCACTGTGCAACCAGGGCCCCCTCTTATATACTAGGCGCTGCTTTATAAGTTATATCATTACATCTTCACAGCCACCCTATGAGATGGATAATGTGATTAGTCCAATTCACAGATGAGGAAACCTGGAACAATTAATTGATTACCCAACAGAGTCAGGAGAAAGAAAGATAAGGACTGATTTCACAGCCCCTGCTTTTTCCCTTGAGGGAAAGTGTCTAGTTTATAAATCGATCTTTATATATGAAAACAGTGTGCTTATGGGAAAACTTTTAGTTGTTTTTCTGGTCTTGGTGATTTCCCAATAGTTAAGTGCTATTTCATCCTGGGCTAGTTTGCTGCCTTGGGTCAAAACATTCAAGAGAGCAAAAATAATGCAGAACGAACTGAGCAGCTTGGAGAAGCCCAGAGGCGCAATCTTCTAACTACCGCTCTTTAACTAACCATTCTCTTAACCTAAAAGCTCCCCTGAATGTCTTCAACTCAATTTATTTTTTTCCCTTTTCTTTTCCCCCAAACAGGGTTATAACTCTGCTGTCTCCTCTTATGGCACCACCTTGCGAGTATCTGTATAATCTTCCTCCATCTCTCCGGACCTACTGTCATCTCATCTCCTTCCTGCTGTTGTTAGCTGTCCTCCAGTCCATCCCGACCTGTGGTGACCTAAGTGTGCAGAGCAGAACAGCTCTCAGGGTTTTCAGAGCTGTGGCCGTTCATAAGCAAATCGCCAGGCCTTTCTTCCACGGCATCTGTCAGTGAGTTCGAATTGCCAACCTTTCAGCTGGTAGTTGAGAGGTTAGCCTTTTGTGGCACACCAGGGATTTCTGTCTCTTTCCTACTTGGTTAAAAAAACCTTCGAGATTGTGTCACTGCCTGCAGAATCTTCTTCCTCCAGTTCTCCATACCCCTGTCTCAGCTCACTCTAAAACGCTCCTTCTTAAAAAGCTGAGCTCATCGTAATCTTTGTGGGGATGTCCTCTTGACTACAGGGTGAAGTCCAAATAAAGAATAGAATAACTGACAGGGAGGAAAAATTATCTTACAATCTGCAAGGCAAATTTTATCAACCAGTGTAACAAGCTCATTATAAAGTTGATGTCCAAACACTAGACTAACTCACATGCCAGAAGCCTCCTTTAATATCCTGAAGGAATGCACAGGGAATTAGGAAACAGTTCAATTGACATCAAGTTATGTGCAGGGGTAGGCTTTATAAGGTAGCTTTATTATGGAGCTTTATGGAAAAGCAATATGATGTGATAGAACACGGGAAGGCGAGGACGTGATTTTAAGCCCCAATCTTATAGCTAGCTGACTTTTATGACTTTGGGCAAATTAAAGAATCCAACGTATCTCCATTTCTTCACCTATCATTTTCCAGGGGGTTCCCTGGTGGTACAGTGGTTAAGCACTCTGCTGTGAACCGAAAGGTCGGTGGTTGGAACTCATCAGCCTCTCCACTGGAGAAAGATGTGGCAGTCTGCTTCCGTAAAGATTTACATCCCTGGAAACCCTATGGGGCAGTTCTACTCTGTCCTACAGGGTCGCTATGAGTCGGAATTGACTTGACGGCAGTGAGTTGGTTTTTTTTTTTAAGATAATTTTCCGTTTATTAGGTGGGGATAACAGGGTATGAAACAGAAGACTTTTATATATTCATGAATCTGAAACAATAAATACGTTGTACAAATGAAAGCCAAAGAGAACTAGCTTTTGAAAGAGCCAAATGAGACCAACCCCACACCCACCACCAAGCAGGTGTGTGAATTTAGGGACACTCTCAGCTTCTGTCAGCCTCAATCCCCTCATTTGTATAATAAAATCATACAAACCAGCCCAAGTCTAGATTCAATAAATGCTGGATTTCTTTCCCTTTTACAATATCTCCTTTAAAAAAGGATTTCTTTCCTTTTCTGAAATATAATATTTCTTTCCTTTTTATAATGGCTAAAATTCCTTGGAGTTCTTAGCAAAATGCACACATTTAAAAAAAAAAGTAAGCAAAAATGTTGAATAAAACATTAAAGCCATGATTTTTTCTCATTAGGTATTTATTGTGACTCTTATCAACAGGTGATTTTAGGATTAATTATAAAGCCCTGGGAGATGAATTAGGGGAGAGAGAAATATAGCTTTGTGGTTTTAGTGTTCATGTTTAAAGCAAAAACATCAATATGTGTATACCTTGCTTTTTCTTAGCAAGATTTAGATCAATGTTTTAGGATATATATTTGAAACATGTTTTTCAGTTAGTCTTTTAATCCATTTGTAAAAAGCTGTAAGGACTACCATTACCCAGAGCACAGGAAATTTGCAGATACTTTGGAAATGCCCTGTTCCTGGGGCTTTCACCTTTGAACGAGTTTCTCAGAGCTTGTTCAAGCAAGTAAAGCTTTCAGATAGCGCTCAATAGTTGTCTTGTTGACCACTCAAGAGTAACAGTGAGATTCAGCGTGTTGAAGATTCCATTAAAAAAAAAAAGAATTCCACTGACATGAAAGATCCAGAATAGAAAGTCCACAGAAGCAGGAAGCAGGTTAGTGTTGTCAGGGGCTGGGTGAGTGGGCAAAGGGACGGGACGCTTCAAGGGGACGGGGTTTTCTTTTGGGATATCGATAAAGTTCTGCAGTTAGTTAGTGGTGATGGGTACACAACATTGTGAATGTACTTAGTGCCACTGAATTGTACACTTTAAAAATGGATACAGTTCCCTTTTGTGTTGTGTGTAATTTACCAAAATAATAATAATAAAAAAAAGAGACAGAAAGAAAAAGAAAGGTGATGGTTTCTCAAGCTATTAGCTTTTGATAATCATTTCTTTCCATGTAGAAAAATCAGTAAGTTAGATGTGCATTACATTTTTTAAAAGTGTTTTAACATTGTGACAACATCCATGCCTCAGGTAAACGTCTTATCACCTCAGCCAGAAACAATCTGCAGTCGAGGTCAGAGGCTCATCGTGCAGATGCAGAGAGCTTGTGTGAATTCCAGCTCCGCCTTTCAATACCCCATGTTCTTAGACAATTCCCCA